ACAGCCCCCCAAGAGCCAGCGGCAGAACTCACGAGGGCCAGCGGGTACTTTAATCGAGGGGACAGAAACAATGTCAGGTTTTTTTCCATCATTTTTGGGGGCCTGATTTTGGACAACCCTACTAATCACTGTCTGGTTTCCAATGCAATTCCAGCTTTGCATTTTTTCCAGGCCTTTTGCTCACATGTGCAGCTCTGTACTGTCAGAAGATGGTGGAGAATTTAAATAAAACATTTTATAACATGAAAAAAAACAACCAACCCAACCCAAATGTGGGTCATGGTGCAATGCCTAGCATCAGCACATGCAATATCTCTTGAATCAGCGGCTGAGTTTACAAATGGAGCGTTTCAGACCCCGAGCTGGGCCAGCACCTGGCGCTGGAGCCGACCTGCTCCCTTCAGCCGGCGCGGCTGGAGGCGAAGGCGCGCTGCAGCTGCAGCGATTCGCTTTTTTTTGCTGCATAAATCAAATTACACGGAGGAGGATGGAGCTGGAGGAAGGTGAATTTGCAAATTGCAGCACATTTCCCGAAGGTGTAACCTTGCAGTTAGAAGAGAATAAGTGCTGGCTCCTGGCAACCTGCCCCGGAGGGGGGGGAGGTAGTAAACAATCCGTCATACTGAGATAGATCAGAAACGATATTTAGTGTGACATTTAAATGCTAACAAAGATACACAGAGACATTAAATGATTAAGCTTTTGAAAGCATCATCTATTTTTATCGGTGTGGTTTGTGGTGTTTGTTTGTAGATAATCACATCTGTTTGGGTTTTTTTTTTTTTTATTTTTAGGGCATGCAAAAGCTTTTTGGCATGCAGGGGGAACACTGGACCTCCCCAGTTAGAAATCTACGGAAAAGTTGCTTGTGGGAATAGCAGGTTACGTGCTCTGTAAGGAACTTTTCTACTTCAGGCAGGTCAGAAAGTAGTTTTGGTTGGGGGGGAAAGAAAAAAACCCACCAAACACTTAAAAATATTCATCTTCTCTGCAGTTTTAAACACCCAAAGCACCCTGGGCCAAGCGTCTGTAAGCAGACAGCGGTGTTGTGCTGCGTAACAGCGACGGAAGTGTCAGAAAAATCAAAGTATTGGTTTTCCACTGCTAATATAAATTCCACTTAGAAACAAGACGGTTCAGACAGGGATGTCTTTAAGGTCTTTTGGTTTGTTTTTTTTTTTCCTAGTGAAAGTAGCTGCCACCTTGCTCACTAAGCGCAGATAAACCGAAAATGAGTGATGTTACTGAAGAAATGAGTGATGTGGCACAGAGGTGGGAGGGAAGCGATTTGCGTGCTGGAGCCCTTGGTCTGCTGCGGATTCCTGGCTCTAAAAGCACTCCCCAGGGCCAAGTCTGCTGTCAGAGCCAAACCCCTCGGAAGGGATTTACGCCCCCCCTGACCCTTTCCCCGGCCGACCTGCAGATGTGTGCCCGTACAGGCACGGGAGGCGTTGGATGCTCTCGGAGGAGAGCCTGGTGTGAAATCACCATCCCAGGACACTGCCTGGTTCTCGGCTCCTGAGCCCACTGTAGTCACGCCGACAGCTCAGTGCAACCACTGAAAACCAGTTGGAGTTGTCATTTTGGGTGCTTAGACCATGGCGTATCCGCAGGAGCGTCTGCGCCGGCCCCGCTCAGGCGTGCGCACGGGTGGCGGGTGCTGCGGAGCCGCTCTCCGGCGCTGGGGTGTCTCTGCTGGGAATCCACTTCAGCTCCAACCAACACGGCAAGTGGAGCCCGTTTCTTCACCGCCTCATCACCTATCCAATGAGTTACCGCAATAAAAGGGCCCGACTTGCCCCAAAGCGCCTCTGCGTACTTCTGTATAGACGGCGTTGAGGTTTGTGTAGCACCACGCAATGGCGACAACCCCTTCCCCCAGCACTCTGCTCCTCTCGCCCTCCACCCGCAGGGCACGGCCGCATGGGGAGGCCGACCCGTCCACCCGGGACCAGGTCGGTGGCAGCCAGTGGCCACGCGGGGGGGCAGGAGACCACGGGCGGGGGAGGGATCGC